GGGGGCAGCGGGGACCGTGCGTGGGCCTGCCCGGGACGTCCCCACGACCCCCGGGGCACAGGACCTGAGCTAGGCGCCGGGTCCGCTCTGGGGTGGGCTGCAGTGAGAGCTGCGACCCGGGAGCCCGGTTCGGCCTGGCTTCCCAGGTTCAGTCGCGGGCGTCCGGGTTGGGTGCTCAGTCCGGCTCCAAATTCACCTGGGATAGGGGTGGAAAAAAAAAATAATAAGGAATTCTGGGAGTTCTCTCGACCCCAGGGTTCCAGGGTCCTGCAACACCGTTCCACAAACTTCTGTCGAAGCTAGTTTGGTTCAGGGACTGAGGCAGATGGACAACCCCCTTTGCGCATTGTATGGGGTAGGGCCTATCCTCCGGCACGGTGTGTCGCCTGCCTCTTCCCCACCATTCACCCCCTTTTCCGGCTCAGAACTTGGATGCGGTGTCTGTGTGAAACACACCCCTCCACCTTCCAAACTTTAAAAATACATTGAAGTAATGCAAAGAAGTACAAAGAAAGGTGTAAGAATTCAGGGTTTTAGACTTGTCGTCGGGAGGAGCGATTTTTAAAAACCATGCTGAGTTTGGAGTCTGGTCAGGGTGTTTGAACTTCTTGTTGCTGTTCGTTTTGAAGCTTCCCAGGCAGTTCTGATGTTGGCTAGGCCTGAGAGACTCTGTATAGTCCTGGCTACCATAGTAACAATGTCAAGAGCTTTGCGAGTCTAGAATCCACAAGGGAAATCGAAGCACCTCTCAGGACGAAGAAATAGAAGTATAGTCATTCCAACCACCAAGGGATGCTGAAATTATAGAGAAAAGATGATCAGGTGCACAGGGAATTGCACTAAACTCGAAATGGAAGAGCGTCAAAAATGGTGTGGAGAGATGTCTCTAGGTTAAGTGAATTATCTGGCTGTTCTGGCGATTCCCAGCATCCATATGACAGCTCTCAGCCATATATGACTCAAGTTCCCGGGGTTCTGATGCTGTTTTCTGGCCTCCTTGGGCCCCAGGCACTCGTGTGGTATATATGCGTGCATGCAGGCAAGGCATCCAAACGCACTTAAAAAATTATCAGGAAAAATGAAGAAGACACTTACGACAAAGATAAAACAATCACCTAAGACTACCTGGGTTTAGGAGAGTGATTAAATAAGTATTGCAGCCAATCACAGGATAGGAAAACAGTCATGCAGCCAATCACAGGATAGGAAAATAGTCATGGCAAGCGTTTGGAGGACGTGTTAAAAGGTCTGTTTTCTATTTATCAGCTGGAAAGTGAGGGAGAAATCCAAAGGCCAATTGAGAACAGAGATTCCCCAAGCAGATGCACTTCCTCCCTGGAGTGTGGTAACCTAGGCCTTAGCTGCGATGGCTGACTGACCTCCACTTAGACCGGCCTGCTAGCAACTCGTGACCTTCAGCCAGTTGGTTGATTTCTCTAGGTCTCAATGTGGTGCCTGCCTGGAACCCCAGCTCTTTGGGAGACTGAAGCAGAAGGATCCCTGAAGCCAACAATTCAAGGCCAATCATGGCAATGCGGAGAAACCCCAACTGGGAGGGGGAGGAGGACACAAATGTATAAGACTTTTGGGATGTGGCACATAGTGAGAAAGTCACTGCCAGCCCCGCTAAATAGGACTGGAATTTCACAGTACTTTTCAGATTGTATTAAAATCTTTGAAAGACTATTTTGGAGGGAAAACCTCACTCATGAAAACTCGTTCTCTGGGTACTTTGTTTAAAAAATAACATCCAAGGCTGACAGAATGGCTCAACACTAACGTGTGTTGTCAAACCCGACTGCTTGAGTTCGGTCCCTGAAGCCTACATGGTGAGGGGAGGAGCCACCCCGGTCCCTAAATGATTATCATGTGTGTGCCATCTAATGATGTCATCTGGCAAGCTGTGACCTGGACCCCTTGTTGAATGCGAAAGCAGAGCGTTTCCGCCCTTCAGTCGTCTCCCACACTTGTGACTCCTTCAGATCTGGAGATTCAGCGTCCCCCACCAGAATGAGGAGGTACAAGAGGCCTAAACTATTAAGAGGCAGAACGGCCCAGGGGCCTTGCCCACCTGCTTATGTGAGTTGGGCGGCAGGGCTGCAGGCTCTATTTACCTGTTTGTTTCTTTTACTGCTTCTGCCAGTGTAAGTGGGGCTTCGTTACATTATTAGGGTCCCAAGAGTATAGGCCTGGCAGCTGCCCTTGGCTTTGCTTGGCCTTGGGTTGGAGGCTGAAGGAGTTGGCAACAGCACACAGCTGGTAAGCGCAGGTAGGTGTAGCACTTAGGGCCGGTCTTCTCATCAGTTTTGCTTCTGGGAGAGCTGGATGGTGCCTCCATGTAAGTGCAGCAGTCGGTGCAGGCTGGACTGTTTCTAACGGTGGAGCCCAAGAGCATGAGGTCATGCTCTGGCTGCCATTGCTGTGTATCGAGAACTGGTGGTCAGGTTGGGCACCCTGGTTCGATCTTGACCGTGATATTCTCAGTGAGGTCACTGGGGTGGACCTTGAGGGTGATGGCCTTGCCTGCCATTGTTTTCATACACACCTGTATCTTGGTGTCTCCTCATGTAATGTTTATATGTATGGGTGTCTTGTCTGCATGGATGTCTCTGCACCATGTGCATGCCTGGTACTTGCAGAGGCCAGAAGGGGGTGTCGGATCTCCTGAGACTGCAGTTACAGACTGTTGTGAGTTGCCGTATGGGTGCTGGGAGTCCAACTGGTGTCCTCTGGAAGAGCAGCTAGTGCTCTTAATGGCTGAGCCACCTCTCCAGCCTTTGATGTCTCTTGATGCCTTCTCGGAGAGGTAGAGCTGCAGTCTGCATTTGTAACAAGTTGCGGAGGCTGAGCTGAAGTCTAGACATGGGAATAATAGACCCTTGGTTCAGATCAGTGATTTCATTGGAGAGCTGTGGCCATGGGCAGGGGCAAAAGCTGTGAGCTTTGTTCTTCTGCATAACAGAAAAGAGCCTAGCTCATGACCTCATTATTCAGTGTTACCTCCTCAGACACTCCTCACACCCTGGATGGGAATAGTGCGGATGGGACCTCAGTTGTAGCTGAGCCATCTGTGCAAAGGGCCTCTGCGTGTGGCATTGCACACAGGTCACGGGGCTTTGGGCTGAAGGCCACACATGCTCCAGCCTGTAGGTATTTGTGAAGCAGTAATGCTGTGTTTGTCTGTCTCCCTCTGGTGCTCTGGGATTTTGGTTCTTTTGTTTTATAACTTTTCTTTCCGGTCCTTCTCAGATGTAGATGAAAAGAGGCCCGCGGAGCTGAAGATGGATCAGGCTCTGCTCCTCATCCACAATGAACTGTCCGGGACAAGCCTAACGGTGTACTGGAAATCGGAGTCCTGTTACCAAGTGCGTATCGTCTGCATCCCTCCATTTGCTTTGGGCCTTGTTTGGTGCACCCTTCCAGCGTTCTGATGTCTAAGCCCTTTCTTATTCCCTTCAGATTTACAGGCAAGGAAACAAAAGTAGATTATAGTTAAGAACTAGATGGAATATGATCAAGGGAGAATGTTTGGCAGGGATTGGTTCTGTTCCCTTATCCTTTCTTTAAATTAGGAAAAAAAAAACTTATTTGTTTGAGTACTGCTAGGCCATAGGACAGGAATTCTTATTAAAATTAAGATTTTGTTTTTTTGAGACAGGGTTTCTCTGTGTAGCCTTGGCTGTCTCTGGAACTCTCTTTGTAGACCAGGCTGGCCTCGAACTCACAGAGATCCACCTGTCTCTGCCTCCCAGGTACTGAGATTAAAGGTGTTCTCTGCTGCCGACACCACCATCGGCTAAGACGATTCTTTTTTTTTTTTAATTATTTATTATGTATACAGTGTTCTGCCTGCATGTTAGAAGAGGGCATCAGATCTCATTACAGATGGTTGTGAGCCACCATGTGGTTGCTGGGAATTGAACTCAGGACCTTTGGAAGAGCAGCCAGTGCTCTTAACCTCTAAGCCATCTCTCCAGCCCCTAAGACGATTCTTATCCAGTGATTTCACTTTCGGAAATTTGCATTAAGGAAAGAATCTAAAAGAGTAAGAACCTCATGGGTAGATATTTTAAAACAATAAGTTTATATGACAAAAATGTAAAGCTACAGTAGGAAATACTTGAAGACATAAATACCCACAGTTCTTATAGTTAGTGATATATATGTAGTAAATAGAAATATGTAAAATAGGATCCTGTAAATCGGTTAAATAATACTGAAACAATAGAATGCAAGATTTAAAGTAGGCTATATTTATTAATTTGTGAAAAGTTTCCCTATGAATAAAGATTGTTCAGTTCCATCATGGCCGTCATTATTTTAATATAAAATGGGCAAATTTTATCTGCATGACTGCAGTTTAAGTTTTTTAACATACAAGGAAGAGCTAGGATTTTTCTCTTGGCTATCGTGTCCCCCAACCTCTGAGAGACTTTGCAGACCCCTAACAGGATGAGAGGTGTAGTTTATGGGAAGCCTCCTGCCTAACAGCTCAGGGCCCTGCCGAATAACAGTGGCTCCTACTCTGAGAATGAGAACACCCTGACACCGTGCCTGCTGGCTTTGTCTCCACAGTGCACCTTCCAGCCTCTGGCGAACGTCTCTCACAGTGGCAAACCTGCGAAGCCAAGCGTTGTGGCCGTCTCCGTGAGCACCCAGCACGGGTCCATCCTACAAGTTAATTACACCCAGGGAGAGACTGCAGCTTGCAGGTCCGTGCCTGCTCGTCATGGTCTATCTTGAGTCTGCTTTTCCTTTTTTTTTTTCTCCTGCATGGTTTTTGCTTTTCCTCTCTTTAAAATATTTTTCTTAATCTTCCCGATCTGTATATAAGAATTTATATCGTTCCTTGCTGATGGTGTTAGCAGAGTCTAGCTCAAGTGGTTCTCAACCTTCCTAACACAGTTCCTCATGTTGTGGTGACCCCCACCATAAAACTATTTTGTTTCTGCTTCATAACTGTAATTTTGCTGCTGTTATGAGTTGTTTATCAATGTCTGATATGCAGGATAACTGGTATTCAATCCCCTAGGGTCTTGACCCATGGGTTGAGAACCTCTGGTCTAGTTATTTATTTCCACTTATTTCCTAGTGTAACCTTTGGCCTTCATTTTACCTGCTCTTTTTAGGCTGGAATACAAATTTGGAGAATTTGGGAACTATTCCCTTTTGGTCCAGCATTCTTCCCCTGGAGCCAGTGAAGTCGCCTGTGACCTAGTTGTCAACGAGAATCCAGTCGACAGTAACCTTCGTATGTATATGCGTCTTCGTTGTTTTCTTAAGTTTGTATTTTCAGAGTTTTTGGTCTCCTTGCATCTGACACTTCATGACATGGTCATTCATTTAAAACATGGATTATGTATTACCGCTACCATTCATTTGTTGGAGTTGCTTTTTGGTGCTGGGGATTAGAATCAGGACCTCACCCATGCTAAAGCGTGTATTCTATACCTCCATTCCAAGTTTGGTGGTTTTGCTATGTCATAGATACATACGAAGAAAATTATGTGATATGGCAGCACATTTTGATATCGCTGGGTTTAAGCACACGTGGAAAGAAACTAGAAATAGGGCAGTTAACTTTCTGTTTCTGGGGCCAGGGCATACATAGTGTTCCTGGGAGCCTTGACAGTGACAGCTCCTGAGGTGCCCTCACAGTAAGGGAAATCCTTCACCTTCTCACAGCTCCACAGCAGAGCATCTGTCACCTTGAACCCTCTCTAGAAATTACTGTGTGTGATACTCTTTAAAGAACAACAGGGGACCTTTGTGTCATTAGTAAGTTCTGTTCACAGAGAGCTAAGAGTGACGTTATCTCAGAATGTAGAGCCCTTCACAAGGGAGCAGTGTGGGCCGCCCACGGAGTTAAAAAAGAGTAATGAGGCCCAGCAAGATGGCTCGGCAGGTAAAGCCCTTGCCACCAAGCCTGAGGATCTGAGTTCAGTCCCTGGATCTCACGTGGTAGGAGAGATCAGACTCCTGCAAGTTGGCCTCTGACCTCCACACATGCACAGTACGGTACACGTAGGTACGTACCAAAATTAAATGTAAATACAATTAAAATGTAATAACTGTCACTGATGAGAAAATAGCATGTAAAAAGTATAAAAACTGTGGGGTTATTATGAAACAAAGAAGAGAAAAATGAAAATAATGCTTAAGTTGCCTTTGGATTAACAGGAGCTCTTAATGTAGATGGTTGTCCTTTGAGGGCCAGTGAGATGGCTCAGCAGGTAAAGGTGCTTGTTGCTGAGCCTGGACCTGGAAGCCACTGTGTGCTGTGACACCAGATCGACAGGCCCTTGCCTGCTTAGCGTGTCTATGTCACACGGTCCGCTACTGGTGCCTCCTCAGTGTGTATGTGTGTCACGTGGCCAGTTATAGGTGGTGCCTCCTCAGTATGAAAGAGTTGTTGGTAGCTTTGCATGACACTGTGAAGAAGTTTTAGGTTTGCAGAAATGTTACAGAAAGTTTCTGAACACCCTTTATCTAGCTGTGTGTATGTCCTTAAACTGTATAAGCATACTATGGTTACCCTGTACATAATTATTGGGGCCAGGAACTTAACATTTACATAGCCCCGATTTATACACATTTAAACGTCTCAAGTTGTCTTTTTTTAACATACATTTGTTTATTTATTCTGTTGTTGGTTCCACAGTCCACATGTTGTGGAGTCAAAGACAACTTCGGGGCTTTTGTTCTCTTCTTCTACCACGGGGGTCCTGGGCTGGGAACTCGGGTTGCAGGCTTGGTGGCCAGGGCATTTATTGCTGAGCCATTTCCCCTGGTGCCGTTGCTGTCACTCAGGAGCTAGTCTAGGATCCCACGTTGCATTTAGTTGTCAAAACTGCCTTGTCAGTGTCCCTTGACCTTCCTTTGTCTTTCACGGCCTTGATGGTTTTGAGATCTGGTTGTTTAGTAGACTGACCCTGTTGTGTGGTACGACAGGAGACACACGGGGTCACCAGACCTCCTGCAGGACCCATGTCTTATGAACACAGTGAAGTACGTAGGGATGAAATGACACATACCTGGGTTTAAAGCGTGTTAGCAAAACAAGGAGAAGGGACTCAGTAGATGAAACCTCGCAATACCGTTTTTGTTTTGCTGAAGATAGAACCCAAGTGCTTGAAAATGCAAGATCAATGCTCCACCACTGAGCTGCGTCCCCAGCACCATGGGAGACGGTCTTTTGATGATAGTAATCAATCATCCAGGAACTGAGTGATGGATGCGTTGTGAGCATGTCATGCAATGCTCCTGCATGCTTCGTTCTTAATTGTTTATACAACGTTTAGCATAGGAGTGTGAGCTTTGCTCATATTTGCTTCCAGCTGTCACTGACAGGGTGATGCACCGCCCCAGCAGCTTTGATACTTAGGATGACATCGTGAGGATAATGTTTTCTTCTTTTATAGCTGTGAGCATCGCATTTCTTGTTGGTCTAGCACTCATCATCGCGATATCTTTCCTGAGGTTCTTACTGAGGTAAGTTGTTGAGGAGAACATGACCGGGAAACAAAGACCCAGAAATAATGTACCTAGAGAGGGTAATTTGGCCCTCCATTGTCCACTCTTCCACCTTAGGACAGTCACCAGAAGCAGACACACATAGATGATCGTTATTCTCTGTTTAGCAAGCGTTTGCGCATCTGCCATGTCTGTTCCAGTCCTGGGCATCCGAGCAGACTGTAATGTAGTCTCTGACCGTAGGGCATGCTCATGAGGGTGCAAATGGGTCTTTGCCTTTATTCTCTCAACATGGCTGAAGATGAAGATGTTTGAGAAACGTTTAGTTCCTAAGGAACCCTGGATTGAGTTTTAGAAGGTTGCCACACGGGTTCTCCTCTTCTCCACGCTTCCACTGCATCTTCCTCTGTTTCCCATTAGCTCAAGAGTCTGGGGGCCAAAGTGTCGCACAAGGGCGCATGTAGCTCAGGACCTCAGTGTGGATTCTTTTTCCTGTGGGTAGAAGCATCTGATTGGAGAGGGCATTGGCCTTCTCGGCCTGGTTAACAGTGATCCTGGCGAGTGAACCAGTAAACCAGACAAGAAAAACAGAGCAAACTAGGTAAACCAAGCAGGCTGGTTTAATCAACTGGAAGATTTAATTTATTTTTAGAAAGTAATGTATATGTGTTAGTATGTGTCTGTCTCTTTGTATGTCTGTCCATGTGTGTCTGTCTATGTTTGTCTCTCTCTCTTTCTCTCTGTCCGTGTGTGTGTGTGTGTGTGTGACCACAGAGGCCAGAGGGGTGTATGTGTGTGTGTCCGTCCATCTGTCCGTGTCCACAGAGGCCAGAGGCATTGGATCCCCTAGAGCTGGAATCAAGGTAGTTGTGAGCCCCCCAGTGTAGGTGCTGGGACCCAAACCCAGGTCTTCTTTAAGAACAATATACATTCTTTATTGCCAAGCCGTCTCTCTGCCCTGTAAAGGAGAGTTCTTTCATGTTTTAAAGGGAAGAAGAACGGTGGTCATATGACACACACTTGTAACCCCAGCAGTCGGGAGGTAGAGGGAGGGGGATATGGAGTTTGGGTTCAGAGCGAGCCTTGGCTCCATAGTGGAACTGGTCTAGGAAGGAAGGACAGACGACAGGAAGAGAGGCTGTATTCTCACATGTTCATTCCTTAGGGTTTTGGGTCTCCTGAAGGACCACAGACTTCATTAGTAAGCTGTGTTCTGCAACGAGTATTTCTCTGTCCCGTCAGCCATCTCCCAAATAATGACACGGAGACTTCTCACTAATGATGAAAGCTTGGCCTGTAGCATGGGCTTGTTCCTAACTAGCTCTTGTAACTCTAAATTAGGCCGTTTGTATTCATCTACGTTATATCTCCTGGTATTGTCTCTTTTCCATCTTGTACCTCCTGTTTCCCCTCAGTGTCTCCTGGTGTCTCCTGCCCCTGAATCCTTCCTCCTCTTCCTTTCTCTCCCTGGAAATCCCACCTATACCTCCTGCTTAGCTATTGGCCATTCAGCTCAATTGGAAGTATGAAAAAAAAAAGTATGAAAAAAACCTTAGTTTGACTGCCTTGAGGGAGCTTATATATTCTGACCTAACTTTGTAAGCTTTTCAAATCCTTTCATCCCATGTCTCGGAAACCTGACCTTATATTGGTAAGAGTCACTTGCTTCTTAGGCGTCACGATTCGATGCAGCAGCTTCCCGGGAAGAAAGTAGAAGCTTTGCGGTTTCATTTCTTTGGATCAGGTGTTAGCTTGTCAGTCTTCTGCTGAGATGGGCATGCTGTTCTACTGTAGCGGTGTGCTCTCTCTCGGTGCTCTGGTGTGGCTGGCTCTGTCCCTTCACTCCATCGTAAGGGAGCTGGAATGAGGTTCTTGCAGGGAGGAGCCGTTCATCTTGCCATCTTGGCCCTGTGTAATTGGACTAATCTTTACCTCTCCTGCGGAGGCGTGAACTCAGTGCTCTGGCAGAGGGGAGCTAAAGGCCACCCCTTGCTCTGCGGTTTCCCAGCACACCTGTGTAAGCTAAGGACGTTTCATAGGCCAAGAATGATGCCCCCTTCTCTTGAAGAAGAAACAACGATAAGTGTCTATTTACTTCTAAGTGTTTCAGCCTCTCTGCTTTGGCACTTCCTCGATGTGTCTGTGTTAATGATTCACACCACGGTGATGCGGGCAGGGCCGTGTGGACCAGAAATGGTTCTGGTTTGTAAGAGCTGTTACAAGCGGAAGCATGGGCTGTGTGGATTTTTTGTGGGGCTGGTGTGAACATTTGAAGTGTGAAGAACATCTACAAGCCGGGCAGACTGAGCTGGCTGTGTGAAGACAGCAAGGAGCTTTGCTGTCATTTGAATTGCAGTGATGGGAAAGGCCTGCACAGTGGCTCTCGTCACCAAGCCTGCCAACCTGACCCAACCCGGTTACACATGGAAGGAGAGAACCAACTCCCAAGCTGACCTCTGACCTCCACACATGGCATATGCACATCTCCCCCACATCATAAATAAACTTAAGAAAGCAGATTAGACTATAATAATATTGTTATTGTGTTTAGAGACAGAACAGTGTTCCCTTTTCCAGAGACCTCAGTGTTTATGGATCAGGTGGTTTCATACCCGGGCTTTCTTTACAGTATGGAAAGTCAGGAGGGGAAGTTAGGGGAAGTAAGATTGCCCACGTGTGGATATCTGAAGCTCAGTGACTCATTGTGTTTATCTAAGCATATGGATGGCTTTGTTTGAAAGCAAGCCGAGATATAACTTTTGGGTTTTTTTAGTTTTTCAAGACAGGGTTTCTCAGTGTATCCCTGGCTCTCCAGGACCTCTCTGTATAGTTTGGCGTGGCCTTGAACTCAGAGATCCACCCTCCTCTGGCTCCCAAGTGCTGGTATTAAAGGCGTGCAACACCATGCCTGGCAAGATAGTCTGGCTTTTTTTTTTAAGTGTGTTTATGTGTGCGTGGCGGGGCATACACACGTGTGGAAGTCAGAGGATGTCTCTTGGGAATCAGTTCTTTCCTACCTTATGGGTTCCTGAGATCAAACTCAGGTTGTCAGCCTTGGTGGCAAACATCTTTACTTAGTGAGCTGTCTTGTGAGCTGGAGATCTTTGGAATGATTTATACCCAAGTAGAGATCTCATCTTAAAGAAAATCAATGAATGTACTTACTCTTTTGTCAACCACAAAGATGAATTTAATTTTTAAATTAGGTCAACCATACAAATAAAAGAATTGCCAATGGATGCTGTCTCCAGCTTGCTCAGTGTGTGTGTGTGTGTGTGTGTGTGTGTAATTACAATCCCACGAAAAGTGCTTTTTATATGTGCTCGCTATTTCTTATGTGTTCTTTTAAGTCTTTCCTGGATTGCGTGGTCATGGTTGTTGCCATGTGCTCTTCTTATTTTCATGGCAGGAAGAAGCCTGGTGTCACGAGATTTTCATGGCTCTTTGAGTCACCACCATTGTTCTTACTAACTGACAAAGCGACCGCAGTCTCTACTCTGTGTTTTGCCATTTCTAAAAGAACTTTGATGATGTTTATGGATCTTAAATTTTATTCCAGTAGCTAGTCATTTTGAAAATATTACCATTCAAGTAAGAAAACCAATGGAGGCTTTTTTTTTTTTAAATACAGTTTGGAAGACTTCAGTAATTGCATTTCTAAGGCAATAACTTCTCGAGAAACTGACCGCCTCATCAATTCCGTGAGTTATTCGAGTTTGCATGTGTTGTCTGGGAGGTATTCTGGATTTGAATTTATAATTTCTCTTTTAGTGAGCATCATTGTCCCGCTTAATGCATTTCAGTTATATTGTGGAAAGTCAGACTGTATGTTCTGAGTGTTTTCTCCATGTGTATGCTACACAGACTACATGCAGCCACATTCCTGGCTAGGACCTGGATTCTTCCTGTCTGCTGGGATTATCAGTGCAAGCCGCATTCCCTGCAAGCTTGCTTGCTTACATGCTTCCTTTCTTTCCTTTCTCTCTCTCTCTCTCCTTTCTCTCTCTCTCTTTCTTGGAGACAGGGTCACATATAACTTAAGCTGACCTCTAACTTACTACGTAGGATATAGCTAAGGATAGCCTTAAACTCCTGATCCTCCTCTTGTCCATCTCCTGAGGGCTGAGATTACAGGCGTATGTCATCTTGTTGGTGATGGGGCAGGGAATCAGATATGCTAGGCAAGCACCTTTCTGGCTGGGACAGTCCTCTCACATCTGTTTTAGTATTTTATTTTATTGCTTATTTATTAAGGTATGTGTATGAGAGAGACACATGGGTGTGAGTGTTTGCATGCATGAGCTGTGGCTTGCGCGTAGAGCCAGAAGACAGCCTGTGGGATTTTCTTCTTCCGCTGTGAGCTCTGTTATGAGGCCTGTGCCTCAGGCACTTCAAGCATGGCCTTCCTGCCAGCCCCCAACTTGTCCTTAATAAAGAGCAGCCTTGTCCTCGTCTTCTGTGAAGGGCCCGTACCCCTCTCCCCTCTCTTTCTCAGTGAGGGTGGAAGTCTGGGCTGCCTTAAGATGTACAAGTTTTCATTCAGCAGCCAGCCCTGTTTGAAAATAAATGAGCCAAAATATCAGTATTAAATGTGTAAATGTTGATGGCCATTGTAATGACCAAATATGGTGTTATATTGGACTAATGAATTCTCGGGAGCGTGTTTATTTCCATATCAGTTCTGGACTACCTAAGAACCAGTTCACACCTGATTTTTTGGTGCAGGGGGCCTGAACACATGATCTCTCACATGGTAGGCGAGCACTTTACCACTGAGTTACACCCTCAGCCCCAGAACCGTTTCTTTGTATCACTGTCAACATGACTACCAGCAAACTCCACAAAGGGCATAAACATGCAGTTAAAGTGGAGAATAAAACCTCGGCATGGGATCTTTACAAAACCAAATTATTGTCCCAAAGTTATCCTTACATTTCCACTCTCATTTGTCTGCTGGAATACCGAATAATGAAGTCTGTTCCTGAGCCTTGTTAAATACCATCTCTTTCTCTCTGTTTGGAAGGAGCTAGGATCCCCAAGCAGAGCAGACCCCCTCAGTGATGACTTTCAACCAGAAACACGACGCATGCCTGCCTTGCCTTACCGTCTCCGATGCGTGGACACATTTAGGGGGTAAGTGGGGCTCATAACGTGGTGGGTACGGGCGGGTCTATGTCAGATTTTATAGTTACACACAAGCCCATTTTTAGCTTAAGGTATTTTACGTGTTTACTGGTGTAGTGTTGCATTCAGCACCCAGGAGGCCAAGGCAAAAGGACTGCTGAAAATTCAAAGCCAGCCTCGGATAGCTAATAAGACCTTTTATCAAAAAGACAAAAATAAATAAATATAATGTCTGCATCCTCTCTGCTTGGACTTGTCATGATAAGGGCCGGAGTATGGGCAAACCCATGCTTAGCTTGTGCTTGGCTCCGAGGTCATTCCCCAGTACCACAGAGGTCATTCCCCAGCACCACAAAAAGCAAACAAGAAAAGTGAAGCAAAAGTCGGGGTCACCGTGAGGTGGAGAGAGAAGAGAGAAGGAACTCAGCCGGAACCAGTTTCTGCTAATGTGTTTAGTGGTCTGGGCAAGGGGCTCTGTTCAGGCCACACTGCCAGCTCTGAAGGCTCGCCAGCCCACGGCTCTATCTCTGCCAGCAGACCCACAGTCCTGTGCCGTGCTCGTTATACTGAGGCCAAACTCTGACAGAGTCCATAACTGTGAACCAGAAATAAAATACTCAATGTCAGTTCTTCATTTCTTCCACCCGAGAATGACTGACTTCCACTGATTAGCATCTGGAGTCCCGAGGACCTGATTAGATAGATGAGAGCCGGGTCCTGGGTTTGGATAAGCTGCCCCTATTCATAGGCTTGGAGCCAGAAGTGTTTCAGAGTTCAGCGGGTTTGAATATTAACATTGAGAAATCTTGTGGCTGGGACCCAGGCCCAAGCACGAATTTAGTTTCCTTTCCCTTACCTCACATGCGTGACCTGAAAATGAGTTTAGACAGGATTTTTACTGTGCCTGTAGGTTGTTTGTTTGTTTTTGTTTTGTGTCTTTTCCCTTGGGGGGCTGAGTGAGGCATTCTGGGATTTATGGCAGGCTCCTCTCAGGAGGGCAACTGCTGCCTCACCACCAGCCAGCACCTGCATTTTCGCTATGAGATGACGTGACAGCAGTGTGGCGTTCCCACCCGTGGCATCACGGACACATCTGGTATTAGCGAATTCCAGGCTTCAGATGGAATAATCCCAGAGTACAGAACTGATGACAGCTATGTCGTTCCCTGGGCCATCGCAGCCCTAGCTCATCTTGTCTGAACTCTTAGTAAAACTACAAAAACGTGCTCTTCACGGATGGAGAAATAGAGCTACCGAGTTAAATGACTTTCTCAACCACTGGGCTGCTAAGTGGGAGAGTGAGGCGTGTGTCCTAGGCAGTTGGGTCACGAGGCACAGGCGGTTAGTCTCTCAGCATGCCAGCTTGTCCCTTCTCAGGGTAGCACCAAAGGACAGCCCTCCAGAGTCCAGCTGAGGGTATTCTTTTTCTTTCCGTCTGTCGCCATTGACACTTGGGAATCAGAGGTTCATAGGTGGCCAGAAACTAGCACTAAGTGCCTGGGAATGTGCCTCATAAGAAAGCAAGACTCAAGTTTTAGACCCTTAGTTTTCTGAGTCCCAGGCGTCTATGTCTTCTACGAAAGTCAGCCTGAGAGATCCAAAATAATTTTTAAGAAGTTGCATTCCTGGAGACATGTTACTTTGTTTTCAGATCAGAAAATTCAGTAGCATAAGCAGAGTGTGGTGGCCCACATCTTTGAACCCAGCACTCAGGAGACACAGGCAGGCAAATCTCTTTGAGTTCGAAGCTAGCCTGGTCTACAAAGCGAGTTGCAGGACAGCCAGGGCTGTTACACAGAAAAACCTCTGTCTCAAAAAAAATTAATTTAAAGAAATTCAGTAGCATATTATGAAGTTTTCTTTATTGTATGTGTGTATGTGTGTGCGTGTGTGTGCATGCATGCATGTTCCTCGTCATGGTGCATCCGTGGAGGTGAGAGGCCATTTACAGGAGTTAATCCTCCCCTTCTACCATGCAGGCTGTGGTCTTTAGGCCTGTAGTGTCTTTACCAGCTGAGCCATATGGTCAGCCCAAGTGTAAATTTCTCTTGAGATACTGCGTTAGAAATGTTGGTGGCCGAGCATCCTCGTGTGGCCCCTCATAGTGAGCAACAGATAATCGTATCTTAAATTGTCTACTTGTGCCCTCAGCTGCTCTGTAGAGTCACACTATCATGTGACACCCCTTATCTGAAAGCGTCTGTCCTTCAGGGGTTGTGTCAACACCGCCCCCTTTGTTTACCTTGTAGGCTAGCCCTCATTCTCATGGTCTTCGTCAACTATGGAGGAGGAAAGTATTGGTACTTCAAGCATTCCAGCTGGAATGGTAAGTTACTGGTCTCCCAGCCTGACCCTCAGAGAGACCAGAGGATAACACGGCATTACCTGTGGGCTGTCCACCAGGGCCCTCCCACCCTAGCTTACCCAGGGGCCCTTGAGTTTTGTTCTTCCGTGGAGCTAGAATGATAAGGAAGCAGAGACTGGATTTTTCTGCTGTGAGACAACGGGTCTCCACAGGAAGTGTAAAAGGCTTAGTTCTGCACGGTCATTGTTATAGTCTAGGCAGTAGGGCTACTGTGTTCTTGGGGGCTTTGCCTTCTAAGACTTACATCTTTCTTGGGGTGCCACTTATGAAGACCAGTCTGAGTGATCCTTGATAATATCTATAAACCTGGGTGTGTAGTTGCTGGAACCAGGAGAATGATGGACTACCTGATCGTTACAGACATGGACTCTTGAGAACTTTTAGTTGTCTTTATTTTGGCCAGACAAAATATTTTTATTTTGTAAAAATAATTATTTTTTACAATATAATTCTAAAATACAATTGCAGAATATTTTTTATTCTGTAAAAGTCTGGGGAAGCCTCTAGGAGAGAGTTCCTTGTGTCTGACCACTGGCACCCAGGTTCCATGTATGGATGGTAGAGTCTGCAGCTGCTGCAGCTCGATACTCGGACCTGCAGTGGCCTCTGGACTGTGGTCAAGTGTAAGACAAGATTCATGAGTCTGCAAAGCAGCTCGGCAGGTAAAGGTGCTGGCTGCCAACCTGCGCTCAATCCACAGGACCCACACTGATGAAAGAGACTCCTGTACGGTGTCCTCTGACCTCTACACTCGCCTCCCCATCCATACACAATAAAGTTAACAGAATAATGTAGAACAAGAGCCCCGTCTCCCGTCCATACCTAAGATCAGCTCCTCTCTTGTGAGACTGAATGGTTTCGTTATGTTCTCTGTTGGACATTCTGCTGGAAGACAGGGAGTGGACACTGTCTCCCAGTGGAGGGAGAGAATAGGTTTCGACCAGTACTGCTGCACAGACTTCTAGTGTGAGCGGTTTACAGGGAACCCTCCCCAGCCCCGGGTCCAGTGCCTTATGTGGCTCCTGGCTGTGTGTTGTACTTTCTGTGTAAAAACGCAGTGCTGCATACAAGTTTTGGAATTGGGAGGTGTTTCTATCCTACCGTCCTCCTTCTTACGTTTGTTCTCACGTCATTTTGCAGGACTGACTGTGGCCGACCTCGTCTTCCCCTGGTGAGTTGACAGTCTATCGTGAGGGTTATGCACATTAGTGACTTACGCCAGTCACCCATGACGCCTTGCTGATAATGACAGAAAGAGAGAACAGCACTTCCCCTTGGAGTCATTAGCCACAGCCTCTACCTCCCGCCCATCGTCTCCCATCTCCTTGTCTGTTGCTTGAGTCTGAATCTGTGCCTGCGGGAAGGCTGTGTCTGTGGTGCTGTGTGTGTCTCCCTAGCAAAGGGCTTCACTCTGTGTTTGTCGAACAGCACAGAGAGCACCAATGGGGTGGGGGGCGGGTACACTTTACAGAACTCTTTAGTAGAGTTCTACAAGGGATCTTGTCACTGGCTCCAGCTGACCCAGACAGTAAGCGCCATTGTTTATCAACCACTGTCCATAACTGGTTGCTTTCAACCTTTATGGCAGATTGTAGGAAGTTGCTCTCAACTTCTGTATTCGCTGCTTTTGGCTAATGATACGCATACGTTATCTGGGCCAGAGGCGTGGAAGAGTTGACCATTTAAGATCACAGCTGTGCATTGCCTTGAGCTGTAAGGTTGATACCATGGGAAATCCAGAGCAAGTAAGATTGGCTGTCATACTGTTCTAAAGGTAGAGTAAGTGGACTGGCTGAGTAAACAGTAGGATGGCAGTCGTAAGTGACTTCAGGCTGTGAGGTCCGGCGAAAGTTCCGATCTCTTAGGATGTAAGAGATATTTTATAATATTGCATCGCCACTGCCTGCCATCAGCTCTTCCACAGATCATCTCCTGCCCTTTGTCTGTGACCAGTTCTGCGTCGTGAGCCTGCATTTATGAAGCCCTAGCATGAGTCATGCTACTGGGCACTTCGCATACCTGACATTATGTTTCTGCATGTGTACATGAAAGATTTGACTTTGTGTATTCACATGGGGCTGGAGATTTAAACTGAGTCGTTGTATGTGCTAAGCGTGTGCTCGGTATAGCACTGCGCTGTAGTCTCAGCCCCAGAGATGAATGCTTTCATACGAAACACCTTGTTAGAACAGACATCCTCTACTTGATGCTGGACTCTTACCGTAAGTTCTGAATTTATAGGCAGGTTCTATTAATCTCCTAAATATGTGTAAATCATGTTTCTTAAAAAATAGGTGTGGTAAACCGGTATCTTGTGAATATGGATGAATAGATAGTAGGAAATGATAGTTGTGACTTAAACCTCATTTGGTAGTAGAGTAGAAACGTTTTCCCTAGTGGATTCCTGATCTTGTCAAGACCTACTTCCTGTATGATGTACTTGTGCTTACCCCGGTGCTCTGAGGAACTCCAGTGTTCTGTCATCTGAGACAGTTCCGGGAGAAAGGTTCACATGCTGGGACTCTGGTGTTTTACGACTACCATAGACTCAAGGTCTGGGGAGAAATATTCGGTGATTTGAGAGGATTTGGATAGAGCGAGTATTGTTTGTCCGAGATGTGGTGATGACCTCAGCATACTGTCTGCGCTGCTCCAGTACTGCTCTGTGAGACAGCTACATCCTGGAAGGAAAGCCAGGGGCTCCGGGAGGCAGCCAGAGCAAGCCGCCTTCCCCTAACCCTGACCCAATAACTAGGAAGAATATCCTGTCGTTTTGAATTGGCTACTTTTCTCCTCGATGGGACAGAATACCTCACGGGAGCAACTTAGAGGAAGAAGTTACCCTTTCTCAGGGTTGTGTGGCAATGGCAGCAGGCGGCAGCTTGCTCACACTTGGCAGCGAAACAGGAAGCAGAATCTCGTGGCAGGAATAGGGGCTGCTCCAGTCCTCCAGCTCCACCCTGCAGCCCTGTGCTGGCCAAGTAGGCCTGGTGTCCAGAGGTCCCGTGATCTCTAAAACACCACCAGATGGGGACCGACTGGACACATGAGCCTGTGGACATCTCAAATTCAATGTTTTTTTCTTTTTAAAGGAGACTTTATATGTTTAAAGAAAGGAAAGGGAAATCTGTGTGACTTCTGCCAAATGGATACACACACACACACACACACACACACGGGGGGGGGGGAGAGGGAGAGAGGGAGAGGGGAGAGAGGGAGAGAGAGAGAGAGAGAATTCTTTCAGGAGAAGGAATGCGTCTCTAAAAGATTCAATGTTTTGTTTCTGAACGACTTGGACCGTGTGTTAACACAAGCCCCTTGGGTCACTGTTCATAGTTCTCCTCTCTGATAAATGCTTGCGGGGTTGTCCCTGGAAATCCCACTTACTATTAGCCAGCTTCCTCCAGCAGGACTTGGAGATGTTCTGTCAAAATTCCCCCCAGCAGGCTGTGCTCGCCCCTCCCGTATAATGAGGCTGTTTCAGTCACTGGCTGTTGAAGGCGGGTAGCATGTCACCTCTCCTATAAGAAATGAAGGGTGCATGTATAAAAGTTGGAAATGACCACCTACCAATAGCCTTTTTTTTTTTCGTAGGTTTGTATTTATTATGGGATCTTCAATTTTCTTGTCAATGACTTCTGTCCTACAACGAGGATGTTCAAAATTCAGACTGCTGGGGAAAATCGCTTGGAGAAGCTTCCTGCTAATTTGTATAGGAATTATCGTTGTCAACCCCAATTATTGCCTTGGCCCATGTAAGTATCTCTGCCCCTTTGTTTATGTAGAGTCAGGCTGAACTATGAAAAAGACTTAGACACACACACACACACACACACACAGAGTCTTTAGTGTTTGGGATCAAACCCAGGCCCTTTGCACATGCTAGGCAAGCTTTTTGCCTCTGAGTCCCATGTGTTATAATCTAATGTAATCCTTCCGCCCGGATCGCTCCCAGAGGACTAACTATTAGAAGAGTGTGTACCGCTTGTATACGCTGAGCACTATTACACTTAGAGTGTGTACCGCTTGTATACGCTGAGCACTATTACACTTAGAGTGTGTACCGCTTGTATACGCTGAGCACTATTACACTTAGCTTGGAAATTTCATCATGGGCAGCAGCTCTGTGCCTCTTCTGGTTCCTGTGATATAAAGGAAAAGTCGGGCTGAGTGGGGCCAAAGTGTTGTTCTGGATCATGTTTCAGGGACAGAGGAGCAAATGACCAGTTCAGAAATACCATGAACTGTTGGTATTTCTGTTAGTTTGAGAATCCATTCTTCCGTGTGCCAGCTGTGCTACTGGGAAAGAGAGTCTTCTGTGACACCAGATGGTGAAGACAGGATGTCAGCCCCTTGCTTTGTACCAGATGCAGATGGAGAAGGCAGCCATTACTGTCCCAGGGGCTCACTTTACCTCTGGCAAAGGGGAACAGATACTCACACACCAGCCAAATCCAGCCCCCAGGCAGTAAGGGCCATTACTGGAAGCCTAGGAACTTAGAGCAGTGGTTCTCAACCTTTCCAGTGCTGCGACCCCTTAATACAGTTCCTCAGATTGTGGGGACCCCCAGGCATAGAATTATCTCATTGCTACTTCATAACTGTCACTTTGCTACTGTTGTGAATCATAATGTAAACATCTGTGCTTTCTGATGGTCTTAGTGACCCCTGAGAAAGGGTTGATGACCCCCAGGTTGAGAACCACTGGCTTAGAGAGAGCTCATTTTGGTGGACTCCATGTGAGGTTCTTCCCAACCTCAGGGGACCCTGTAGGGTTTGCTCTCGGTTCTTTACCCGGAATGTAGCCCGTAACTTATAGGTTGTACCGGGGGAGCAGTGGTTTGGGTTTGGTCTGCGTGTTTTTAGTGACGTGAGGGTTATATCCATATTCCTGATAGGTAAGGGCTGGGAGCTGAATTCAGTGCCACGGGGAGTCCCTGCTTTATCCCCCTACTGAGTAAAGATGGCCAGCTGTTTGTTTACAGAGGACAGCGTGTCCTCAGTCCACGTGCATTCACGAGCTATGATAATTTACTTACAAGTAATATAGATACGTCTCCCCTGCTTTCTTGGGGTAAGACGTCCCCAGTTCTGTCCTGGGGTAAGACGTGTTGTGCTAGCTTAGCCTTCGGTGGCTTGTGTCTTTGGCAGTGTCTTGGGATAAGGTGCGGATCCCTGGTGTCCTGCAGCGGTTGGGAGTGACGTACTTCGTGGTCGCTGTGTTGGAGCTCATCTTCTCGAAGCCTGTCCCTGACACTTGTACCTCGGTGAGAACCCTGTGCGTGTGTGTGTGCGTGCGTGTGTGTGTGCGTGCGTGCGTGCGTGCGTGTGCGTGCGTGCGTGTGTGTGTGTGTGTGTGTGTGTGAGAGAGAGAGAGAAGGAGAGAGAGAGAGAAGGGGGGGGCAGCCTTAGCGGTCATTTATCAGGTGCTGTTCACCTTCTTTTTGAGACAGGATCTCTTATTGACCTGGAGCTCCCTGGGTAGGTTTGGCTGCTTGGCCAGTGAGCCCAAGGCATCCCTCCTTTAAATGGGTTCCTGGGATGGAACTATGGTCCCCGTCTGATCCATGGTCCCTGTCTGACCCGTGGTCCCTGTCTGACCCGTGGTCCCCTACTCACCCACCTGCCTTCTCACCCCCCCCCCCCACCACCACCAAATCATATACTTTACACAAAGGGAAAATTCATGGAATGGCTTCCTGGATTTTCTTTCTTTCTTTTTTTTTCTTTATCTTTTTTAAATTGATTCTTTGGAAATTACATATCATACACCCCAATCCCGCTCATTTGGTTTCTCTGGATTTTTATAGTACGTAGTGTACCATTGTACTTCTGCTAATGAAATGCTTTTTTCTGTTTCCACTAATTATTTCCTTTTGTCTGTTTGTTTTGAGGCAGTGAGGCAGGATCTCACTATGTAGACCAGGCTAGCTTAGACCTTACTATGTAGACCAGGCTGGCTTAGAACTCACAGAGATCCACTTCCCTCTGCCTCCTGAGTGCTGGGATTGAAGGTGTGCGTCAGGTGCACCATACATTCTATTTTTTCTTGTTCTCCTGCTGTAGTACTAGGGATTAAACCCAGGGTCTCACGTGTGCTGGACACATGTTCCACACTGAGCTAACCCTCCACCCCACGTATGTCTAACTAATGTTTTACTGTGATGCTTCAGAGTGCTAAAGCATCTGACATCATCAAACACAGTAGATAATTTTGAGTTTGGTTTGGTTTTAAATAGGGCCTCGTGTAGCCTAGACTGGCCTCAGACTCACTGTTCTGCTGAAGATTGACCTTCATCTCTGGATCTGTCTGCTTCCGCCTCTCAGGAGCCACTGTACCTCATGTTATTAGATCAGTGTGTGTGTGTGCACGCATTCATATATGTGCTTGCGTGTGCAGACCAGAGAACAACCCTGGGTGCCCACATGTTCTCTTTTTGACACTGGGTCTCGCTGGCCTGGACCTAACCCAGTAGGCTAGGCTTGCTGGACCAGGGAGCTCAGGGCTCTCCATTAGGGTTACAGGACCACGCCACACACCAACCCTTTCGCGTTTGTTCTGGGCTTGGGTTGAGGCCCTCACACTACCAGCTGAGCCATCTCCTCAGTCAGATCATTTTTTTAATTCTGCTATAAAAGTCAAAACCCAGTCTAGCATTTCCCAGGTTCCCTGTGGCCTCACGTGGGCTGTTCTTGCCTCACTCAGGAGAGAAGCTGCCTTTCTCTTCAAGACATCACTTCCAGCTGGCCCCAGTGGCTTGTCATTCTGATACTCGAAAGCATTTGGCTGGCTTTGACATTCTTTTTACCTGTCCCTGGGTGCCCTACGTAAGTGACCCCTTGCCAGGTAATCCCTCTGTGTGTGTGTTCTTGTTTGTGTGTGGGGGCATGTGTCCGTGTGTGTGCATGTACATCTGAAGGTTGGAGAACGGTTGTTATTCCTCAGTCATTGATCCCACCCCCCCCCGGTGGTTTTGGGGACGTAAAGTTTGCCAAGTAGACTGGCCAGTGAGCTGCAAGGATCCACCTGTCTCCGCCTCTCCCCGGCTGGTAGTACAAGTGTGTGCCATCATGCATGGCTTTTTTATAATAAAAAATTATTTTATGTGTATGAGTGTTTTGCCTGCATGTATATCTGCATATCATGTGTGCACAGTGCCTGAGGAGGCCAGAATGAGGTATTAGATCCCTGGAATTGGAACCTCCATGTGGGTTCTGGGGATTGAACCTGTGTCCTCTGGAAGAGCAACCTGTGCTCTTAACCACTGAGCCATCTCTCCAGCCTCAATGCATGGCTTGGCTGGCTGGCTGGCTTGTGTTCTCTTATTTCCTCTCCTCCCCTCCCCTCCCTTTCCCTCCCCTCCCCTCCCCTCCCCTCTACTCTCTTCCCCTTTCTTTCCCTCCCCTCCCCTCCCCTCCCTGTTTGTTTTTTCTTTTCTTTTCTTCCATGGGTTCTGGGAATCGAACTCAGGTCCTTATCTTGCAAGGCAAGCACTTTACTGACTGAACCGTGGTAATTCCTTTCTGTTGAATTAGAGGTAAGGTTCTATAGCATTGAAATTTCTCCGGTCAGACAAATTCTCTCTCACACTTTTTCCTCTTTGGGGCTCTCTTTCCATGGAGAGGAGGGTTGAGTTGTCTCAACATCGCCCTGAGTAGAAAGTGCCTTCCAGTGATAGGAACCCCTGCTGTCCGCTCCCAGGGGGTCAGGGGTGAGGGCTGTTGTGGGCCTGTCCTGCACGGCTGGCCACTGCTCAGTACTATCCCTTCTGTGTTCCTGTCAACTAAGTATGCTTTTCACTTCCTTAGTGGCTACCTTGGCCCCGGCGGTATTGGGGACTTGGGGAAGTACCCTCGCTGTACTGGAGGAGCAGCTGGCTACATTGACCGCCTACTTCTGGGAGACAATCATCTGTACCAGCACCCCTCCTCCACTGTGCGTGAGCCTTTCCTTTCCTTGGAACCAGAAATTAGGGAAGTAGGAAGAGCGAGCCGGTTAGATACAGATCGTCTAAGGACAATGTGGTTTTTGTTATTTGGAAAACTGACTGGATTCATGTGGCAGATGTTCACCGTCTGTTGGTAGGCACTTTGATTGTGGAGAGAGAATGGGCCACAAGAAACAATTGGCATTTTATTCAGCTCTCTAGGTTTCCAGCCCCGGACTCTGGAGGCAGGGACTAGAATACAGGATATGTGTATACAGGATGTGTGAGGAATGCGGCTGAGGGAGCTGAGCTGCACTGGGTCTCCTCAGGGCTCTGGTTAATCTTCGTGCACTGAAGGGACAATTGAGAGCTCTTCTGCCGGGTGAGGGCTGGGCCCCTCATGTTCCTGGTCGGATGTGGACCGTCCCCAGCACAGGAGCGGTTTGGAAAGGCAGACAAGTTCCCACGCTTTCTCTTTTCTTGTTTTACGTTGCTGGGATCAAGCTCAGGACCCAGTGAGCTGTACCTTCACCCTGAGACTCTCTTTAGACAAGGCCGAGGTTCTTTACTGAGACCTTTTGGCAATTACTATTTCTAGTAGCTGGGAATGAATCCTCCAGGTCTTGCAGTGGTTGAGGATACACTGTACATTTCCAAGTTCTAGAGTCTCATTTTATATTAAAAATACTAAGTTTTTGTTTTAATGGACCTTAATTTTTTTTTGGAGTGCTAGACATTAAAACATGGGTCTTCTAAATGTTAAGAATACACTCATCCCTGGTCCGCTTCCCGTTTCCAAATGTGTTATTAAATGTTATTTGCCAGCAAAGAAGGTTGGGAGCTGTTGAAACGACAGTGGGGTTGACTGAAACAGAACGAGCATGTGATTCCTGTCCTGTTAGGCATTTGTATTTCATTACATGTGGTCCAGCATTCTGCCAGGCTTCCTAATGTGGTCGAGCAGGATCATGGCTTACTTTGCCTATGATACCTATAAATTGCCCATGAATTTCTGCTGTTAAAGCAAAAAGCAAAGCAAGAAGGGAGGGAGGGAGGGAGGAAGGGAGGGAGGGAGCTCAAGGCATCGGCGACTGAGATGTGTTCAGGTTTGTGTTCTGTCTGAGAGTTCTGTTCATTTTTCTGTTCAGAGAGTGACTGCTACCCTCTTGATCTGTTTTGTTAAGGTCCTTTATCACACTGAGGTGGCCTACGACCCGGAAGGACTCTTAGGAACTGTCAACTCCATTGTGATGGCATTTTTAGGAGTTCAGGTACTGTTTCTCTGATCAGGCTTCCCTTTGCTGACTGTGATGAGGGCTGGCAGCGTGACCAGAGCCACCTCACTCTAGTAGTGAGGTGGTTGAAGGAGGTCCCCTGCTGCCCTGCTAAATTCTGTTTAGGATCAAGATTGTGTAAACTAGGGTGGGGTAACAGCAATTCAGACAGGTGGCTGAATCCTTACGTTCTGGGAACTAAATTCTTAACTTGTTGTGGCTTTATTTTAGCCCAGGAGTTTGTGGATAATGAGTTCCATTGACGGCCACATTCATTCATTCAGTCAGTCATTCGTTCGTTTGTTTGTTTTGGTTTCTCTGTGTAGCCCTGGCTGCCCTGGCTAGCCTCTAACTCCTCAGGGATTAGCCTCCCAAGTGCTGGGATTAAAGGTGTGTGCCACCAATGCCCAGCAATGGCCACATTTCTAATCCCTGCCCTTGGAAGGCTGAGGCAGGAGGACTCAAGTTTGAGAACAGACTGGGTTACCTAGTAAAACCCTGTCACAAACGAAAGCAGACACGTGAATGATTTCCACCTGGAGTTCTGAGTGTTTAGGTGTTGGTCACGTGGGGAGGTCACCAGGTCACTTGTCCCATTTGTCCTCGCGTGTTTGTGTTGCTGGAGCAAAACGCCCGAGGCTGCTAACTCACAGACAGCAGACATTCGTTTCTCAGGCCCAGGTTCCAAGGGCTCATAGGTTTCCTCCTTTCCCGGCAATGGCCTGTCTCTCCCAGAGAGCACCCTCTGGAGGGGACGTCATGGTGTCCACACATGGTACGCAGAAGGGTGCAGATGCTGGACTTGCCGTCTCAAGCCCTCTATAAGACCCTAGCACACATTCCCAAGGGTAGAGATCTGTACTGGTCCAGAGGGACCACCTGCCGATCCCGTCACCTGGGTTTCCATCCACAGCCAGCTGTGTGAGAACCTTCAGAGCATGCGTGTCTATGCCCAAGTCAAATCTAGTTCCTCTCGGCATCTCCTGTGCACCTCTGTGATCATTCAGAGCCGTCTAGCGTCGCTACCCGAAGTTCTCTCTCCCGGCATTGGAGCCTTCTCTGAGGGGAGCAGCCCTGGGGGTGGGCGGCTGGTGCAGCAGGCTCAGGAGAATGCCGAGTGACTATAGCTCCGCGTGCCGCACAGCTGAGCTGGTGGATGAGAAAGAAACATGGCCGTACTGTTTTCTCCTCCAGGCAGGAAAAATACTCCTGTATTACAAGGACCAGACGAAAGCCATCCTGATGAGATTTGCTGCCTGGTGCTGTGTACTTGTAAGTAACCAGCCCTCCTCACCCGGTTGTGTTCTTAAGACTGGCATTTATTAAGAAAAATAAAATGTCGGGCAGCTGCTGGCTCGGTGTAATGGAGAGCATTTCACCTGAAGAACAGGATTCACAGAATAACGTCTTTAAAAAATCAATCTGGGTGTGGAACCCAGGGCCTGGTGCATGGTCTACCACTAAGGTGCACTCCTAGTCTCAAGGAGGAAGACATCTTTACATCTAAATTCTCAGGTTTATTTTCTTACAAAACTGTATTATATAAATAAATAAAAGCGTTTGCTTTCACTTGAGTGAAGATTGCTAGAGGAAGCATGTAAGGGATATTTTACGTGTAGGGATGCTCTACGTGTAGGGATGCTCCACGTGTAGGGGATGCTCTACGTGTAGGGATGCTCTACGTGTAGGGGATGCTCTACGTGTAGAGGATGCTCCACATGTAGGGGATGCTCCACGTGTAAGGGATACTCCACGTGTAAGGGATGCTCCACGTGTAGAATGCTGTGCGTGTAGGGGATGCTCTACATGGAAACCTTACCAGAAAGAAGACTAGGCACAGGATGAATTGTAGCTCAGTAGAAGGTAGCATGCATGATGCCCCGAGTTCCATCCCCTGCACTCCCTTAGACTGGGTGTGGTGGCATGTGTCTGTAATCCAGCATGAGGAGGCAGAGGATCCAAGACCACCCTTGGCTACAGCTTGAGGTCAGTCTTGGATATGTGAGACTCTGTCTCAAAAACAAAAGAGAAAATTTAAAAAGGGACTGGAGAGATGTCTCAGTGGTTAAGAGCACTGGCTGCTCTTCCAGAGGATGTAGGTTCAATTGCCGGCACCCACATAGCAGCTCATAACTGTCTATAATTCCAGTTCTAGAGGGTCCAACCCCTTACACAGACATATATGCAGGCAAAACACCAATGCACATAAAATGAAAAAAAAAAGAAAAAAAATGGATATTTAGCTGGGCAGCAGTGGTACACACCTTTAATCTGAGCACTTGGAAGGCAGAGGCAGGGGGATATCTAAGTTCGAAGCCAGCTGATCTACCGAACGAGTTCCAGGACAACCAGGGCTACACAGAGAAACCTTGTCTCAGAAAACTGAGAGAGAGAGAGAGAGAGAGAGAGAGAGAGAGAGAGAGAGAACGCATAAAAGTGGAAACAACCAGGCTTAACAGGAGCCTCTAGTTAAGACCATGATAAGCACCCAACTGGGCATTCTCGCCCTGTGCCTGTGGAGTCACATGGTCTTAGGAGTCGCTGTGGTTCCTCACTTACCTTCTCAGTCTCTGAGAACACTGGAAAATGGGTTTATCTGGATGATATGTCAGATGTTCCTTACACATCTTGCAGTAGGTTTCCAATTAAAAGGCAAAATAAAAGCTGTGGCTCCTTGGTCCTCACTGGCGGTTGAGTAGCTAGTTTTTGTCTCCAGTGCATTGTGACTTGAGATTGTAATACAGATCGTTGACATCTTTTCTTCACAGGGGCTTATTTCTATTGCTTTGACAAAATTGTCTACAAATGAAGGTTTTATTCCAATAAACAAAAACCTCTGGTAAGCACGGTGGAGGGTGTCCCATTGCTGTTAGTCCTCATGTTGACACTGGTGTTCCGGGGTGCGGGCAGCAGCCTTCCTTCACTCATCTCCCTGTAGGTCCGTTTCGTACGTCACCACTCTGAGCTGCTTTGCCTTCTTCATCCTGCTCGTCCTGTACCCCGTCGTGGACGTGAAGAGGCTGTGGACAGGAGCCCCGTTCTTTTATCCAGGTGAGTCAGCTGTCACTCACTCAGCAGGCGGTAGAGACCAGGCAGACTGCTCACAGGGCACTGGGCTTGCTCAGAGCTGAAGCCTTTGTCCTGGGGACACATTTCCAGGAAGCGAGCTGTGCTGCCCCAGCTCACAGGAGGCCACTGGCCTGTTCTAGAGCGCTCCGCCCGTTTTTACATGCATTGGTTTCGAGTCAGTGAATAAACTTTGGTTGTTTTCAGGCAGTAGGCAATGGCACAGTACTGGATATGACCCAAGACTTACTATTCTTAATAAGAAATAGGATTGTATTCATTTTTTCTGTGTGTGTGTGTGTGTGTGTGTGTGTGTGTGTGTGTGTATGCACGCGCACGTGCAGGTGCACATGTGCCAGGGTACAACTTGCAGGAGTTAGTTCTTCCCACCATGAAGTTCCTAGGATAGAACTGAGGTCATCAGGCTTGGTGGCACATGCACCTGCTGAGCTAGCTCGTGCTCCTAATTCCTAAGAGTTTAGAGATACCCTTACTTCCCACTTTAATATCTGAGCTATACATCACTTATCCAGGGTAGGGTAATAATGCGAGTCCGAGCTTTATGTTTGTTATTGAATTCATTTCAAGAATTCTATGACTGAACTAGACATGTTCTGATCTCTCTAAGGCATGAATTCTATTCTGGTGTATGTTGGTCACGAGGTGTTTGAGAACTACTTCCCCTTCCGGTGGAAGCTGGAGGATGACCAGTCACACAAAGAGCATCTAATTCAGAACATGGCCGCCACTGCTGTCTGGGTGCTCATCGCCTACATTCTCTATAAAAAGAAGATCTTCTGGAAAATCTGACAGCACTCCTGATAGGCCTTGCTGGAGGAGCCCAGCGGCCCTGGGAGAAGGACAGAACTGTGTTTATTAAAGGGACTCCTCCCACACAAAAGGGACGTACTTACGGAAACTGTGTCCAAGCTGACTTGCTTAGCCATCAGAAAGCTGCCTGAATATTTTTACTTATATATTTACATATTTGAAATGTTATGCGCTCCCTTTCCTTCATTTTCTATGAAATTGATATATTTGGAACATGTGTGGAGGGGTTTACAATGGACATTTCTGTAATATGCTGGGTTTGACTCAGAGGTAGAATGCTTTCCTAACTTGGACAGTTTGATCTCTGCACCACAAACAATCAAACCACAAGAAAACCCAAAGGACCACTTCTTATTTCCTGAAAACTGCCTTCCCATGTGTATATGCATGCCAGCAAAAATACCACGGTTTCTGTTGTGAGACTTACATAAAGCTTTTTGAATGGACTGTGTCATAATCTTGTCTGATTTTTTTTTTTTACAGCATGCACTTTAATGTTTCTAGGAAGCCAAAGTAATTTTCAAGGCTTTGATGAGCCAACAAAATGCATTATCCAAAGCGACCGGCTTCTTTCCCCACCTGGGAAAACACTGAAGCATAGGTTTGTTATTGTCGGCTACTCTTGTTGCACTGTGCCCATCTGCCCAGCCTATTTACCGCTGTCTGTCTGTCTGCCTGTCTGCACTGGCATGTCTCTGGATGGTACTAGGCGTCTCTAGGCACCCAGAGATGTATCCGAGAGAGGAAGAACATCTGCTCTCGCTGTGATCCTCTGAGCTGCCTCCTGTGTAAGGTGCGGGGCAGCTGTCTGGCCTGTCAGAACTTTGGTTCCTCATTTATGGAAGGAAAGGGATGGGCATGCTCCACCAGGTCTCCCCAGTGTTTAGATGTGATAAGGTGGGGTCCCTCGGCAGCTTCTCTGAAATCCTCACTGTAATCTTACGGAAAACCCTGGAATAATAGGAAATAATAAGGAATAATAGGAAAACCCTTGACTCCATCGGAGTGAATCTTATCGAGTGTCCATCCACAGTTTCCGGGGAGCAGAGGTGGTACATGTGTAAGGACAGCCCTCGTGTGCTGTGCATGTCATTCCCTCGTCGCCCAGCTACAGCCCCCCTCCCTCCTGACTGCCATCTTCCTCTTGGGTTCTCCCCACCTGGATTTGATCTGTCATTTCAAATGCCCCATTGTGGAAGCACCACCTCTAACCTCGTTCCCATCCAGAGCTGACACCTTCTTCGGGGTTCTCAAATATTGACATTCATCTCATGGCATTTATTGCTTGTGCCTCATGTGATGGCTACTTTCTGTGATATTAGTGGCAAGAATTAGACATCCTTCTACATCTCTGTGGTGCCAAATGCACTGCCTTGTGTTTAGCAAGTACTGAATAAACATTTATTAATGCTAAACAGTGTGGTTTGGGTTTTTTTTTTAAAGACTTTACTTTTTAATTGTATGTGTATGGGGGTTGTGCACATGAGTGCGGTGCACAGGCGCTGTCTCTGCAGAGGCTAGAAGAGGACATTGGATTCCCCTGGAGCTGGAGTTAGACAGTTGTGAGTCACCCGGTGTGGGTGCTGGGCACCAAACTCCAATCCCCTGCAAGAACTAAGCTGCTGAGCCATCTCTTCAGTTTTTTGTTTGTTTTGTTTTGTTTTGTTTTTGGAGACAGAATTTCACTGTTTGGAAAGCCTGTCCTGGAACTAGTTCTTGTAGACCAGGCTGGCCTCGAACTCACAGAGATCCACCTGCCTCTGCCTCCCGAGTGCTGGGATTAAAGGCATGTGCCACCACCGCCCAGCTGGTTGTAGTTTGAATTCCTAAATCATCAGTGTACTGTGTCCAGACTCCAGTTTTATTAAAAGAAGGTCATTCTGCTAGCTGTGGGAAAGAGAGAAAGTCTATCTGGATCAGTGGGGAGAGGGGAAAAGAAAGGAGGATGCAATCTACAACAGCACAACCATGCAGTTCCGAGCCAGCACTGTCACCATGGGCACGAAAGCAGGTAGTAATCAGGGAGAAATGAAAAAATGTTAGGGCCTTCAGTTTGATTTCATTGGTCCATGTGCCTATTTCTATGCCAATACTAAGTCATTTTTATTACTACAGTTCTATAGTAGAGATCAGGGATAGTGATGCCTCCAGAAGTTTATTATACAGGATTATTTTAGCTATTCTGGGTTTTTTGTTTTTCCATATGAAGCTGAACCATGTTCTTTTAAGGTCTGTGAAGAATTGTGTTGGGATTTTGATGGGGATTGCATTGAATCATGGGAGATCTTTCCATTTTCTGATGTCTTCTTCAATTTCTTTCTTTAGAGACAAAGTTCTTGTCATACAGGTCTTTCACTTGTTTGGCTAGAGTTACCCCCAAGATACTTTATATTTGTGGCTATTGAAAAGGATGATGTTTTTCTGATTTCTTTCTTCACCTGTTTATCATTTGTGTATAGAAGACTATTGATTTTTTGAGTTAATCTTGTATCCTGTCACATTACTGAAGGTTTTTTTTTTTTTAATGTCAGTTGTGGGAATTCCCAGCTAGAGTTTTGTGGTCACTTATGTATACTATCAAATCATCTGTAGAAAGTAATAAACCTTCCCTCCTGGGTTCATTGTGCCTGTGCTTCCGCATCATCAAAGGAAGGCAGGGCAGGAACCTGGAGGCAGGAGCTGATGCAGAGGTCATGGAGGGGTGCTGCTTACTTACTTGCTCAGCCTGCTTTCTTATAGAACCCAGGACCACCAACCCAGGATGGCCACGCCCACAATGGACTGCCCACTTTGATCACTAATAAAGAAAATGCTCTACAAACTTGCTTGCCTACACCCCAGTCCTTTGGAGGCATTTTCTCAATTGACCCCTCTCAGATGATTCTACCCTGTGCCGAGCAGACATAAAGTCAGCCTGCACACTTATTTACTGTTTCAGAGGATTGATCTGTTATCATTGTGACAATGAACATGGTGACATGAAGGCAGGTGCTGGGGCAGCAACTGAGAGATATATCCTGATGGAAGGAGTGAGAAGGAGGAAGGGGGAGAAAGAGAGAGAGCGAGCCTAGGCTTGGCCCACCCCCAGTGACTTATGTCCTCCAATAAAGCCACACCTTCTAATGCTTTCAAATACTGTCACTTCATGGTCTAAGCATTCAAATATATGAACCATTCTTATTCAAACTACCACACTTAAGTTTGTTGTTGATGTTTGTTTTCAGTATTATTTCCTTAAACATAACCACCTCACATTGCTATTCCTTTTGTCTGAGCCACTAACTGTTTCCTATTTCCTATACTCGTTATATCAACTTAATTCATTATCATATACTCAGGTACTCAGTCAATTGAATAATCTAATTTTCTTATGTTTAAATGATCATTCCAATATGATAAATTTTATTTTCCAATTTTGTTTTTTAAAATTGTTCATTTTATACACGTTTTGTCCTTTAATGTTCTTTTGTTCATCTTTTATTTGTTTGAAATATATATATATATTATATTATATTATATTCCATTAAAAAATAGCATAGTTTAGTTAGCCTTTCAGAACAGAATGCTACATTAAAGCACCATTAATCTTATGGAAGTAACTAACGCCTGACAGGTTGAAGCTGCAAACTCAGTCTTCTAACCAGCATGCATCCTGATAGGGGAGTCACTAGTACATTGTGCCAAGAATTCGAATGCTATATCAAAGCTGCTAAGCGTCCCTGGCTAAAATGTAAAATCCCCTGAACCAACACACTGGGATAGTTATGAAAATGTAAGTAATCTTTTGCAAAAAGCAACTGTGCAGGAGACTCCTTCAGTCTTATTATGCATGTTTTGTTCCGTCACCAAACTGATTAAAATGTTGTAAGACAGAGAGAAATGCTGTCGTTCTCCCCAGAAAGCAGTTGTCCTCCTGGCACAGAGGCTGTGTGTCTGAGGAAATTGAAAATGTCGTTATAACGAACAATTTTTAAAGATAGAGTCTCTCACTATGTAGCCCTGGATGTCCCGGAATCCTCTATGGAGACCAAGCTGTCCTCGAACTCATAGAGATCTGCCTGCCTCTGCCTCCTGAGAGCTGGGATTGGAGGCCTGCATGACTACACCTGGCCATAATAAGCAAACAAAACAGGGGGAAAATGTTTTGTGCTCCCTTCTACACCCTGAGTCCCAACACCCACCTGCTGATTCTGTCAAAGGCTTTTTCTGCATCTATCAAGATGATCATGTACATTTTACCTATAAACCCACTTACGTAGTTTACTACATTTATTGACTTGTGTATGACCGTCACGGCATTTCAGAGATAAAACAATTTGGTCATGGCATACGTACATCTGAATTCTGTTTGCAAGTATTTCATTGACTAGTTTTGAGCCTAAGATCATTAGGGATATTGGCCTGTAGGCTTTTGTTGCTATTGTTGTGTCTTTACATGGCTTGTGCATTAGAGCAGTCCTGGGTTTGTAGAAGGATTTTGGGAGTGGGCCTCTGTTTGTTTGTTTGTTTGTTTGTTTGTTTGTTTGTTTCTTTCTTTCTTTCTTTCTTCCTTTCTTCCTTTCTTCCTTTCTTCCTTCCTTCCTTCCTTCCTTCCTTCCTTCCTTCCTTCCTTTCTTTCTTTCTTTCTTTCTTTCTTTCAAGTTTTGGAAGAATTGGCTGTAGAGCTTCTTGTAACATTTGGTAGGATTCTACTGTGGCTCCATCTGTCCCTGAACCTTTTGTTGTTGTTGTTTAGCCGAAGGCTTTTATTGCTGTTTCCATCTCCTCACTTGTTATGGGTCTTTTGAGGCTGTTGGTTTCTTCTTAGTTTAATTTTGGTGGTTTGACTGAAACTAGAAAATCATCCATCCCTCTTAGACTTTCCAACGTCATGGAGTACAGGTTTTAAAATATTCCCTTATTATATTCTGGATTTCTTTGGTGTCTGTTGTGACGTTTCACTGTTCATTTCTGATTCTGTTAATCTGGGCCATTTCTTTCTTTCTTTTAGCTCACTGGGCCAAGAATCTGCCCATCTTGTGTATCTTCTCGAAGAATCAGCTCTTAGATTAGTTGGTTCTTTGAATTGTTTATTTTTTTGTTTCCATTTCATTGACTTCTCCTCTGATTTTTATTCTTTCTCAACATTGCCTGGATTTGGTTCTTGCTTTTCCGACATTTTAGTTGCATCATTAAGCCATTTATCCTGCTCTGATTTTTTTTTAATGTAGACACACAGAGCTATAAATTTTCCTCATAAGATTGCTTTCAATGTGTCTCAAAAGTTTTGTGCTGGGTTTTTATTTTCATTTAACTCCAAGAATTTTTTTTTAAATTTCTTTCTTGATTTCTTCTCTGACCCATTCATCATTTAGTAACGGGTGTTTCATCTCATGAGTCTGTGTATTTACTACAAGTTTGCTTGTTGTCAATTTTAAGTTTTATTGCATTGTGGTTGGATTAGATAA